ATAGTGCTATATTTATGTGTATCTGTATAAAATTAATAATATATTAAGTTTTTATTTGCTAATATTTGTAGTAGATTTACAGTTAAAGAGAGCATTATCTTATCTCTTACTATTAGTATAAAGGTGAAAGTTTGTAGGTTGGGATGTTTGTTACTATTTTAAGAACTACTGAACGGAATTTTATGAAATTTATTATACGGGTAATATTCAGGCTAGATTAGTACATAGGCTTCTTTCTATTATGGTTTATAATACATAATAGGAAGTAGCCTATGGGTAATGGTTTAAGGTAGAAATGTACCGTCAAATCACCTAATGGACCAAGCAGGCGAAGCCACTAGAGAAAAGCTAATTGATTATATTATAAATTATATATGTTTCTTTCCGTAGCACCATGAAGACAGCTCTAGTCCTCCTAGCAGCTGTAATGGCAATGACCTACTGTTATGATGATAATACTAATTACAAACCCATAAGAGCTTGCGGCAGGCAGTTGGCACTGTTACTCGAAAGTATCTGCCAACAGGAGACTTACTTTAACAAACGTGAGTTGTTCAACATTCATTTTCTAGAACTCTTACTACAACTATTCACTTAACTTATGATAAATTCACAAAGGAACAGCATTTTTGTTGCATGAAATATTAAGACTAATATTATACTTTCTCCGGGTGCTGATTTCAGATCTGAAGTCAGATTTTTTGTATCAGCTTTAGTTTTTGAGATAAAATCCAAACGCGTTTTTAAGGAAAATCTATTTTTTATTAAGAAAATATTTACAAAAACAACCACTATTTGTCAAAAAAAACTTTCTTAAGATTTTCTTGGTTCATTGGATTCACGAGTTCTGTTTTTAATACTCCAGCAATAGTCCACCATTATGTGAGCATTCCAGTTAATTTGGTAACGTTCCTCCATAGTCTTGATAGAACCGTTCCCCTTGTTCTCAGATCACCAAGATTTTCAGGGAAACGGTTCAAATTACTGTGGAGGAAGTGTACCTTGATGCTCATATTATAACCAAGCTGCTGGAAGTGTGACAACATTAGTTCAATATGCTCCACATAGCTTTGATCCTTTTTATTTCCCAAAAAATTTTGTGCGGTCCAAATGGATTCATTCCAGGCATTTTTTCAATATTAGTCATGTTACTAATAAAGTTTTCATCCTTTATCAACCTTCTTATTTGTGGGCCATCAAAAATTCCGGCTTTAATTTTCTCTGTGCTCAAAGTATAGAACATTTCAGAGTTGTATTTAAAACAATCATCATCTTTGTTTAGAGCTTTAACAAATTGTTTCATAAACCCTAGTATGATGTGGGTTGATTTATCACATTCAGTTTTCCCGGAATCATAGCTTATCTGGAAGGCCAATCTTTTCTAATCCAGTGCTCAGACTTAGCTCTGCTGTCCCACAGACAAATAAAACAAGGATATTTTGTATAGCCCCCTTGTTGGCCAAGAAGAACCATTTTTAGATCTACACATATCAGCCACTTGTGTTCGTTGTACTTGATTCTATCCATGACAGCAGCTACAGTAGCATATTCTTCTTTGACTGTAGTTGAATGTGCAATCGCTATCGAACCCAGCTTATTGCTGTTATGTATATGTACACATTTAAGGCTGCGTTTAGAGGAATCAATAAATAAACGCCAGTCATTAGTATTATACGTTTCTATTCCCATTGCTTTCAATAAACTAGGAACATCAGAACAAAAAACAAAGTCGTCATCTTCAGTAAAGAATGAAAGCAATTCTGTCTCTCAGTTACGATAGTATGAAATTCTTGTTTCTGGAGTTAAAAGATTTCTTTGCTTTAATCGAGAAGCTAGAATCTCCGATGTTTTTTTAGAAAGACCAAGGTCTCTCACTAAAGCACTGAGGTCTTTTTGATTAAAGGGCTGAGGCTCAGAAGAAATATGTGGGTCAAAATCAGTTGTCCCACTTTCATCACTCGAAGAAGAGCTTTTTACTTCTAAATCGGGATCATTATATCTAGATGAAGAAGCTTGGGCGCGCATCGATGGAGTACAGGACTGGTCGAGTAACAGATGACAAGTTAGGGCAAACCTTATTTGAATACAGTTTTTTGATCAGTCGGTGTGGGATTGTAATTATAATGTATTCTAGTTCGCTTTTAATCTAGCGGCATTTCCTTATTCATAGTACTGTTCATTGGCGTCAACAACTAATAATAATAATAAGTATTCGAACTTTTGAGAGTTCTTACTTCATTAAAATTATATTTATTTGTTTAAAACATTAGCTTAAATTATAACTTAAAGTAATTACTTGAGAAAATATTAAATAATTATTTTCTCAAGTAGGCGAAGTCCGGGCAAAGCGGACATCTTAAGCTTTGAAAGACTATGGAATGTGATCTACTAGACATAGAAATAAAATAGTGACGGAATATGAATCAGTCTTTATTAAAGTTTAAAAGAAATCAACAAACAAAAACGTAACTTAATAACTTTTCTTAAAAAATTTGATTAAATTGCATCCTTCGCTTCTATCCGTTTTGCCCAACCCATCGGGTAAAGTGGATAGTACCAAAGGGCAAAGTGAACACAATCAGACTAGGAACAATTACGAATAAAATATATAGTAATGATAACAAAAAAAAAACAAAAAAGTAACTAATCACTTACCAGTACAGTTATCACAAAGAAAAATACCCTTTCCCTCATATGCCGTGCATTTCTCGTGGTTCCATTTCTTGCAGGAACTGTATTGGATCCAATCATCAACTGGCTGCCCATTAACTTCAACATAATTTTCCCCACAAAAATAGCACGTGCAGTTTTCGTCATTTTCTTTAGTTTAAAATTTCTTAAGTTTAGTGTTTCTCGCTTCAATATTTTTGGTTATGTTGGTCTTTTTCTTCGGTCTAGTCTTTGTTTTTAAATTTTTGTTAATATTTTTTTATGCTTTGGTATTTACTTGAACAAATTTAACTTTCTGTTCTCCCTTAACCGGTGTGCTAGTAAGCACCTCAGACCTTTGAATATATCTTTTTTCGTGTTCCCATGGGAACGTAAGGACTTGGAAATGGTCTTATTTCTCTTGGACTCAAATAAGCGGCAACAAATCTATTTAAGAATAAAGACATTTATGTCGACTCAGCAATAATATAAACCTCTTTAGTTTCACGGTCAAACTAGCAGATCCGGTTACTTTATTCATACATTATGCAAGTTAATCGATCGCAATCTGATGACTATATTAACTTGACATCACATATGGCTAAAGTGAGCTAATCCTTCTCAAAGATTACATATATAAACTTAATTTATTGTTTGGCGGAAATTTTAATTATTTATATTATGAGAAGCTTTATGGCGTAATTCTCTCTATGAAGAGGACGTTAAGCAACTATCACAAAGTCCGATCTGATAACAAATCATTTATATACCTACATCGATGTCTTCATAAATTAAAGAAGTTTAAGAATACGACAAGTAGTCTGCAATTCAGTATGAAGTAGGTACTCTAATGGTGGGATCAATAATAGCTCAGGTTTGTTCAATGTAATCCTGGATGTAAATCTGTAAGCTGTCGATTTTATTTGCATATTATATAAGTAAATTCTAAGATACTGACTGTATGTTGGTCTCGATCGGAAAGAAATATTATCAACCATCAAAACACGAAAATGCGAACTCGAACACGGAAAAAGTAATAATTCAAAATATAAGCGGCCAGCATTGATCATAAATCGTCCAGAGAGTAAACCTTGCATTACTTATAACGATACTTTATATTTTACGTATACCAAAATTAATTATCTCCTTACTCATTTTTTTTAAAATAGAAGTTTATTAAATTGTTGTAATGGGACTATTACTTTCTGTAAAACAGAAAAATATTTGTTGGATTCGCTCGATAACATTTGATTTTTTTTCCCTTGTTCCAGTTGTCAAAAGAGAAGTCACGGTGGAACTTGGTATGTCCTATTATTAAATTAACTAAAAATACCTAAAATATCATACTTATTCTTTCTTTCAGTCGTACTTTATTGTTATGAAAATAAGTTAACTAATGCGTTATATATCTTACAGATGGTCATCCAGAAACAAATACAATTGCGAGCATGTGTTGTATCCAGGAGTGCAACATGTCTATCCTGAAACAATATTGTTAAGGACACTTTCAGAAAGTACTACAATTATGTGGAACTAAATAAACACAACATGCTTGCAAAAGATCAATGTCACAGACTTTTTTTCTAAAAAAAATCGTGATATCGGTCCAATAAACCTATATATTAAATTTTTATATGATGATTTTTATTCGACAAATATAAGCATAGCCTTGGAATAAAATTAGTTTAAAAATTGGTAATTTTGTGCAATTACGACGTACGTACACCTGAACGCATTTCCCCTATGACACAAAAAAGGCTTATGGACTATTCTGCATATTCGATTCTATAGGGAAGTCCCAGCAATAATTTGATTATTAAGAATAATGGTAGGATTATTTTTTCTTTATAACTTATACACATCCACTCTTAGAGAGAGAAGAGCAAGTAAGCTTCGCAGCAAGATTAGATCATTCGTATAAAGCTCAAACTTAAATCACTTATTTTCAAATTACATCCTGCTTGCATATAGGTAAGATATTGCTTCTACATACAACCAAGTAAATGATAATGCTATCGTACAAAGGTATGCTAGATAAAATATCAATATACAACTTATAACAAACTGAAATCAAGCTTGACTATTAACAATTCATTCATATTAAAGACGACACATATGTAGAATCCGCAAAAGGTTATCAAAGTTTTTGCTTCAAGTTTTTTTTACGCTTCTAAGAATAATGAAGTACCTCACTCTAAAAGTGATTGTCCAGTTAAAACGCCGCGTGGTACCAGGCCAATAAATTAAACTGGACGATACATTTTTGTTATTAGATAATAACAGTGAGCAAATAATGTGAGACACAGTTACACCGGTTGCGAGTTTTGAATTAAATCTATTATTGAAAGAAAATGCAAGTGCCATATTTGATGTTGTGTTTATTTATCGCAGTGGATGGTGAGTATTGTTTATTTTTTATTATCAAACATTTAATAGTACAGCTATTTGAGGAACTCGATCGCTCGAACTTTTGTAAAAATTTACTTAAAATATTGATATATTATTAGTAAATAATTGTATATTAGATACAGAATGTGTAAAACTTTAGTTTATAAGTTTTTTTATACGTTCCAGGCAGTTCCGGTTTATTATAACCTGCTCTTAATAAAGCTTCTTTTGCCATAAACATTATAACGACATTAGTGTCATTTAAATAGAACAGTAAGTAACAAATAAAAAATGTAGTGAAGGTTTACTTCACCAGGTGTACCAAGTTAATACGAGTGTGTTAATAATCTTCGTGAACCAGCAGCTTTTAAAAAATTTTTGCTAGGATGAATTGCCTGAACATTGATGAAAATAACTTGCTAGTAGCAATAAGTGCTTGACAAAATCAGTCAGTCCATCCAGCTCTCCAATTTGATTCACTGATTAACTTGAAAAATCTTACTATTCGAGATAGTTTTAATTTTCGCTTGTTTCCTTCGTATATCCAGAAATAATCAGGTTTTTTGCAAAATATAATAAAGTTTAATATTTTGCAAATAGAATCCTGAATCTTAAAACGATAATCACTCATCCACAATTATTGATAGCAAACTTTCTAAAATGGCCATCAACAAAAATACTTAGTTGCCTGCTTCCTATTAGAATTATAGATACATATTTCTGTTACACAATAAATAACCTTAGTACTACTGATTGGGATCTGTGAACTAGATGTGATTTTATTTAATATATTTATTTATATTGACGTTATTTTCTTAATGAAAAATGCTTAAAAAATTCACTTTATCCCTGGCACTCTGAGATGGAATTCGAACCCACGACCTTTCATCCCATCTCAGATTACCAAGGACAAAGTTTTATAAGCATTTTCTTCAAAAATATTTCCCAGCATAGTGAATACAAAATTGGCCAAATATAATTGACGTTATATGTTTTTCGTTTAATTTCCAGGCGTGTACATATCGAATCTGAACGATGCCTGTTTTCGGTGCCTGTGTCACGTGGCCGGCTGTGATATGTCACATGGCTGCACCAACGGTTACTGTGGACCGTACTACATCTCCAGGGTCTACTGGGTGGATGCTGGCAAGCCTACACTGCCTGAAGACGATCCTGACAGAAAAGAAGGTATAATATCCCTTAAGACAACTGCAACATATATACATAGTGTATATACGTAGTGTCTAGTATACTGTACAATAGATTTTAATGCAGTTTCCATCCATATACAGAGTGATTCAAGGGGAAGCTTTATATATATGTATAACATAAGACCATGGAGGTGAAACCGCTGGCGGAAAGCGAATTTATATCTCTATTAATCATGAAGCTTCTCGCATACGTGCATAATAATTTAAAATATGCTAACATAATTTACACTATATATATAGTTTTATTTTTTGAATTAGTGGTAAATGGTTCGCTGATAAGTGCACAAAGACCATAATGCTTGCATTTTTCATAGATATTTATATATTTATTTTACTATATTATGTTTCAAAACCTAATCTGATGACTGACTGACTTTATGTATAGCATTCGTAATTTTCATGACATATTCTGCGCTTTGGAACTTTTACATATAACCGTAAGCCTCAACATAGTCCTATTAATAAACAAGATTTGGCGTCAGAAGAAATTTATGCTATAATTGCAATTTTAGTATTAGTCCAAATTCATATTATACAGGGAATAAGCAAACCGTCTAGGTGTAAATATAACTGACGTAGAGCCTCGTTCTACGTTAACATTTACTAAGTCTCTGTTTATTATTATGAATTTGGACTAATAATAAGTGCAGCCTCAGCGTAAATTTACTCCATCGCTAAACCTTGTTTATTAATAATACTGATAATGTATGGAAATATATCGAGTAGAAAATAGAAAAAAAATTATTTGGAAGAAAATTTTAATAAAGTACACGTACCTACATGCTGTCATATTTCAGCGTTCGAAGACTGCGCGCGAGATTATTACTGCTCGAAGAAGATCGTGGAGAGTTACATGACAAGATTTGGAAGGGTAAGTTAATATTATACAATGCTATTAAAAAAAAAGATTTAACGTCAGAGTATATTTACGCTAAAATTGCAATTTTAGTATTAACTAACAAATATTATTCGAACAGTAATATTCACTCTTAGAAGGTGGTAGAATAAGCCTAGTATCTTCTAAGAGTAAATATTACTGCCGTAGAACCCGTACTAGGTTAACCTTTGCTAAGTCTCTGTTTAATCATTTGAATTTTGACTAATACTACGTGTAGTCTCAGCGGAAATTTACTTCAACGCTAAACCTTGTTTATTAGTAACACAGATATATTTTTGAGTCATTGTAGGCAATTGTTTTGTGCAAACTAGATTTTAAATTTAGATTTATTCCTGACAAACAACTTTTTCAATAACAAAGTAATGAACAAAGTTAACAGGAGCATACTAATAATATTACCTATAGACTCGCTGTTTTCCGCTACTTCACCCGCGTAAATTATAGACTATCTGCATAAGATGGAGCTTCCCATAGGTAAAATAATTTTCATGATCGGATCAGTATTACCCCTATAAACAAATAAAGTTAGAAACTTTACCTACATCAGTCACTACTCTAGTATGTTTTCCAAAGAGAATAAAATAATATTAATATATATGGTATACTAGAGTATAATTCTGATTCTTTGATTACAATTGACTGCGGGATAAGAGGAAGAGTTTTAGAGAGTCAAATGCACGTCAGATTAACACAATATGTTAAATTTCCCCAGTTAATTAGAAGCACTACTCTCAAAATATTAAGGACTAAAATCGATTTGAAAATAAAATTACAGTTTCGTATAATTTGAGGTGCTGTTAACTGTACAACAGAATTAGCACCATTTTCGAATTGATCTGATAAAAATTATCAAGCTGAAAAATCTCATGTCATGAACTGTTTCTGTTAAAATACATACCGTTATTAAACGGGCCGTTCGATGTTTTTTGACTACAACAAATTAACCGTTACTAATTGCGCGTGTTGTCTACCTAGTCAATAATACTAAAGCTACTAAGTGTAAGTCGGACTTTTGTCGGACGGGTTCTGTACCATTATCCATAAAAGCGGTCCAAACATTCTTGTGAAATTTGCATACGAACGCGTTTTTGGTCAACTGTAAGCAATCGCGGCACCCACCTTGCGGATAATTTTTTCATACATAATTCTTGAGTCAAAATGTAATGCGCCCTTTCTTTAGAGATGCCTACAGTATCAGCTATCTCGGAAAATTTCAATCTTCGGTCAGCTAAAACTGCATCATGAATTTTGATTACAATTTCTGGAGTAGTGGCACTTTTTGTATGTCCTGGACGATGTTAATCTTGGGTGCTGGTACGGCCACGTCTAAATTCAGCCACCCAATTTTTTATGGTCGCATATGAAGGAGTATTTTCTCCCAAAACATCCTTCATCTCCGAAAAAATCTCTCTACCTTTTAATCCTTTTAAATACAAAAACTTTATCACAGCTCGTAGCTCAATTTTATCCATTTTGCAGAAAAAACAAAAGAATACTTTTTGAAGTGTCAATATTTAAAATAAAAACTATACGATCGATTTGAAATTTGGAACACTGACAGCTAATGAACCAATGAGTAAAATACTAAGGAGTTTTATATCGTTATTATACAAAATATGGGTTGGGCTAGCTATTTATCATCCCGCCCTCGTAAATATGGCGAGTACCTAAGATCGATTTGACGAGTTTTCAGTACATTCAAAATGGTAATGAACTCAGAAATAAATTAAGAATAATGGTTTAGTATAAAATAAGTATATCACAAATTTAAATTTGACTTATTTTGTATGCCGATGCCGTCGCGATACTTTAAAGGTTGAAATCTTAAATAACGCGATGTGAATAAAGAATTTTTTAACTTTTGTGTAATTTATTAGATACACGCAGGAAAAGTCTATTCGATGAAGTATAAAACCTTATATAAATTAATTAATGCACTTTCCGAAGCATGGAGCTTAAAATAAATAAACTTTGGCCACCCATCCTATGATCGACCTTGCGAAAATTAGTAGTTCGCATCGCAGACAAAATGCGCTAATCATTGCGCCGTCGAACTGCTCAATATTGTCGTTGTTGTTGTCGTTGGTGTCGTTGGTGTCGTTGGTGTCGTTGGTGTCGTTGGTGTCGTTGGTGTCGTTGGTGTCGTTGGTGTCGTTGGCGTCGTTGGCGTCGTTAGCGTCGTTGGTGTCGTTGGTGTCGTTGGTGTCGTTGGTGTCGTTGGTGTCGTTGTGACACGGCTTCGTGGGTATTAACGACCATTTAATACTCTCAATGTAAACTCAATCATGACCAATAAACTTAACGTGTCTTACGAAGCAAAGTAAAGTTTATTTTTTGGTCACCCATCCAGTTACCGGCCTCTGTGAAAGTTGCTTAATTTCCGTAATCATAGATCGAACATATACGGTCACCACTCACAGTACTATCGATATATATATCGACGCTGGAAAGTTAACATGTAGTAACCTTCAAAACCAAAATGGATATTTAGAGTAGAAAATCTTTATATGTTTCAAAAAAAAAACTTATTTCAGTATAAATTGACTAAGGAACATCTTATTTATTACCACGGACGTTTATAGCAATTAATTATAGGAAAAAATAAAAGTTTTTCCGCTCTGAAGAACAATTTTGGTTTTGCGGGTTACTACGTGTTTGCTTTCCAACGTCTATATGTAAATATTGTCATTTGAGTAACATTGTTTCGCATTTGACTGGATCCGATGACTAAACAAAATCTACTAATTTAAATGCAACAATTTTTTTGTCGGTCAACTATTATTGTAATCTAGCAATATTAGATTCAGTAACCGCAGTCACTAACCGACCTTCACAGTAATCATTATGTGAGTGATTAATCCGGGCATCATATTGGAGGCACCCTTTATTCTCACTAGAAGTATGAAATCCAAAATGAAGGTCATACGATAACGTATGTATGCGATCAATAATTCATTTCTCAAGAATAAACCATATAATCTTTGATTTTTAAAATTAACTAGCAATAACTCCATCCAAGCGTCCGAGTTTCGACCACTATAATACAACAAATGTAAACCGCTCTTTCATAATTGGTTTTCTATATCGTTTATTATATACAAATGGCAAATATCAAAAAAATTTAAACCTAAGACCTTTATACTTAAGACAAAAATATCAGTTAGATATACAGAGAGATTCAAGAAGACCACACGGACGAAGCCACTGGCGAGAAGCTAGTTTTATTCAGTAAAATAAGTTTAAAAATCGGTCTACAATTCGCGGAGAAATCTGTCTACGACTCGCGAAGAAATTGGTGAACATAGTGGAAATTACTACATACCCATTAAATATAGAACCTCCTTTCGATTTCGAAGTCTATTAAACATAGAAAAACCACCGATTAAACTTCTGTAGAAAATCACATTTTGCTGCAATTTCATTTGAAATTTTAAATAGTTTTTATTTTAAAGTCAAGTGATTAAAACATTAAAGCCCTTAATGTTATTTTCCAGGACTGCAACAACGACGGTGTGACGAACTGCTATGACTACATGATGATCAACTATCACGGAGGGAGGTCGTGCTCTGGACCACTATTCCTAACCACTCATGGCATGCGATGGCTAGCTAAATTTCAGGAGTGTCGGTTTTAATATAACTCTCCATAGACCAAGAAATTAATATGGAATAACATACCTACTCTAAATATGTGTACTTCCTAAATTATCTATACTAATTTACGCGAAACCAGTAGCCGAGACAATCCATCATATGTCTCGGCTACGTATGGATTGTCTCGGCTACTCGTGAAAGACAATCCTCGATAAGCCAAGTAATTAAGAGAGTCTGAACGGTTTCTAATTTTACTAGACTGGCTTATGAGATTGTCTCGGCTATGAGCCTCGTGTAAATGGTCCTTGAGAAAGATTTTATTGTTTATTTGCATAGAATAGGTTTCGAAACCACTAGATAGCTTTTAAAAATAATTTCACTTGCGGTAAGCTGCATCATACGAGTAATAACCTATTACTCTCGTATGAAATTATATCCTAATCTAGCGGGCTAAGTCGCGGAAAAATAGATAAGTAGTTCTTTATAAAAAAAAAATAAAGTTTGAAATAAGCTAAGTGAATTAGCAAATATAATCATGGAATTTCTGTATTTGACAGATCACAAATTTTCTTAGGCACAATCAAAGATGTAATTTTAGTATTTCGTATTAGGGATTCCATGTTATTTGGTTACATTCTTCTAATTCAGTGGTTCCTAATTTAGGGGTTAATCAACTAATTTGCGGTGTAATAAAGAACCTATTCATTAAAACCAAATTAGTAAAAAAACAATGAAACCGTCTCAATGTGGAACATGATTAAGACGAGAAACTGACCTAACGTCAGTCACAATTTATTGGTATTGTTTCCCCAAGTTACTAGACTTGGACTTGAACTTTTATTCAAGTATTATTCCTTAATTGCATAGAAAGTACTTGTAATAAGCCATTGAATTTTAATAATATAGATCAAATTTTAAGTGAAAATTGTGAATTTCAAAATACATAGTTTTCATTTGCTTTTTCTGTTCGAATACCCTTTATCTGTTATACCATTTACGTTTAAGTAGTATTAGTACCCTATTATAACGCTGTTGGTTTCTTAATAAATAATGTATAGATTATTAAATCCCTGGTTAACTTAATATTATAAGTTAATATTTTTAATTGTGATACAAATTGACTGCTTTGCATTTAATAAAAAAAGTATGTTTATAGATTACTGTTTCATTTAAAATTTTGACTTCCATATCTATATAATTGAGAAATTGGTAGCTATTAATATTTATTATTGTTTATTATTAAATAAATAACACAAAGTATTAACACGGCTGTAGCTTTATTTCATACCATTAATACAAAATTACACGACCATTCATATTATTTTGAATTTTAATAATTAACCTTATTTAGAACTGTTTATCTAAAAAACTGACTACATTTTTGTGTACTTATTGTAAGTTTTATTGTCCGTTTTTTTTTATTAATAGTTGCCTTATCAAAAAAATGTATATCGCCTAAAATTAAATATAATTAAATACACTTATACACACAAAGTACACTATGCTATCGGCACAATTAAAATAATTCATGGCATAAATTCTAAACCTAGTAAAGACACCTGGTGTGCATTAGATTATTATTTTTTAATCAAACAGACTTCCATAGGTACACCAACATTAAGTATGTTGAATCATACGATTTGTATTTTTGATAAAGGATACATACTTGACGTTGTAGTGTATTTATTTTTTATGCCATCAATGAGGCATAAAAAGCAAGGAACATTCTTGCTACATAGCAGCATTTCCTCTGCATTAACTATAACACACGACTAACTTCACGTTATATTTTTTTAAGGATACCTACAGGCCAAGACACACCAGGTTCCCTATTTAAGGAAACTATTAATCAATTTGCCAATACATTAATATTTACAGAAACATAACCTTCTTTTTTGTAGTCGGTTAAAATACAAAACATCACATCAATATTTGAACAACAATTTCATGTCATTTTTTGAAATATGAACGAGTAAGTAATCTATACTAATATTATAAAGCTGAAGAGTTTGTTTGTTTGTTTGAACGCGCTAATCTCAGGAACTACTGGTTCGAATTGAATTTTTTTTTTTTGTGTTGAATAAACCATTTATCGATGAAGGTTTTAGGCTATATAACATCACGCTGCAATTATTAGGGGCGAAGAAATAATGGAAAACGCGGACGAAGTCACTGACGGCCACTAGTCGTTGATAAATTCGGTTTAAAGTAAGTTTTTATCTGAAGAAATAACATTAAATTAAAAAAAAAAATAAGTGTTTTATTTATAAATAGGGCTGATACCTGAGTAAAAAAAAGAAATTCTATTTAGTCCGTCAGTAAGATAAAAATATTAGATGCGTATTTTTTATTGCTTTTTAACATGAAATGGTTTAGATAATAGACAGTAGGGGTAGGGGCTCGCTACGTCACAACTATGCAGAAAACGTACAAAGGTGTGACGTCACGCGGCATTTTAAATCAATGTATCGCCGTTTTTATGGCGTATACAAAAAAATACGTATTTTATATTCTTTCATAATCGACCCGACTGACAAACAAACAAATATTTCATTTCTGTTCTCGTCTATTTGAAAAAAGAAACCATAACATCTATGAATATTCGTTCCTTTGTTCCGATTTAGCAAAGCATTCTGTTATAAAAATAGCCTCAAACTCGACGTCGAGCACAGCGCTTTCATACTATAGAAATTCAAGCAAATTAAACCTAGTTCAAAAGGTAATGACGATTTCATCTAATTGAAGCTCTATGTTATCACAGTGCTGGACTCGACTTAGACCATTAAACTGTTTTTTTTAACAGAAAAGCGTAAGGGTAACGGAACATTAATTTAATACAATATGATTAGCTTACATCGTCCACTTGCTATTTGAATTAAATTAACCTTATACTGTATTCATAGCCACATTACTTACAACTAAATAAAGATAAAACTAAACAGTCGAATGGCACCTATAATTAAATAATATGTTAATATAATTCTTAACTTAACATTACATATAATTTAGGCTGTCGTTAACGTAGTTTTTTCTTTTTTAATCATATCAGTATGTTCGTAGAGAATTTCCTATTCCTTCATAGCAGTTCAATTCTGTAACTTAAAGTAATTCCCAACGGCTTTTTTTTTAAATCAAGATTTCTTTACTACGAGTAAACCTAGATCCTCTGTTTGTGATACTTTATTGTATGTCAATAAAAATCTGTTTTGTTGGGAACATCTTACATGGGCCATATTATAGAAAACTTCGACCGGAATTTTTAAAAGGGACCTCATAAAATAAGTATTTTTTTTAAGTAACTCAGGCGAAGGTGACGAGCGGCGCAGGAGATTCCCATTGATCATTGTCCACTTCATCATCAGACTCCTCAGCGAACCGTACCTGGATACATAAAAAAATGTCTCATTAAAATAATATCAATTACTTCATCGTATTGCAAATAAAATAACATATTATAAACGTGATTTGTTACTTTTTACAGTAACTTTAACGAGAGAAGGTCAATTGCAAATGCGTTTGCAAATGTCAATATCAATATGACATTTGCAAAACGCAGCGTTCGACCACAATGTTAATTTACAATGACGAGTTAACTAGTTAACTATTGAGTTTATGTAGACGTTTTTAAGGAAAAGACAGAAAAAAATGTTTTTGGCTACTTATAATACAAGTACATTTAATTAAGAGCGGTGGCCAACGGGGTGCGACAGCCTAACTACAGCCATGTTTCTAGCCGTAGGATACGACATATTCTTAGCGATGTTGTGACGATATATCGTTTTATGTTACTACTTTGACATGTCTTTTGTTAGTCTTTTGGTGGATATACGAGTAAATTGGTAACTGCTGTCAATCCATTATCATGATTCTTTATGTTTCATTCGTTAGTTATTAAAGTAGATGTCAAAGTAGTAAAATGAAATGAAATATCGATATAAGTCGCAACATAATGTCATATTCTATATCTAGAGAGTTAGGCGTCCGCACCCCAAGACTCTGCCTCAGCATAAACCATAACAATACATTTAAAAAAAATCGTTAATTTGATTTGGCTGGAAAGTGCATATTTAGCAAAATGAATAGTCTTAATTAGGACTCATTGTAAAAGGTATGTTCTGTAATAATTATTTATATTTATGTTGAAGTAACAAGTTATTACTGCGACTTTATTTTGATTTTTAATGTTAAGTCAATTTTAAAACATATGTTAATCGTTGACTTAATAAATAAATAATGTTGAGTCACCTAAAGTCACAAAATATGTGAAGCAGTGAGACTAGAGCATTATATTAATAAATATTACAAATGTTCTCAATATATAATAATTACCCATGGGTCGAGTCGTTTTCCATTGCCGCCCTGCATGGAGCTTTGTTGCGTTGCTTGCCAGGCCTTAAGAAAATTATATTATTAATTTGACATATTACTTTGTAATCGCTAAAATTTGATATATCTGCTATGTAACTTTTCTATTTCATGAAATCAATGTGCTTTTAAACATGTTTATCTAAGACTTGATTGGTAACTTTTTGGAGGAGAAAAAGAAATGCTCAGCTCAGGCCACCTACGTAGTAGTCTACGAGGTCTAATAAATTTAGTAAATGACGCGTCTAATAAATGACGCGTGCAAAAGTACACCAAACATCAAATATTGAGTTAACATAACTATAACAAAATATATAAGTTTCTTGACTGTAACAATCAGGTCAGAGAAAATTTCGTTTTCAACATTACTTGAATTAGCGGCCCTACCGCATTACCGCATAGCGCGAGGCTTGATTTCAATGCTTTAAATTCACATCAAGTAAGAAAACGACAAAATAAAGCCCTAACCATTCATCTATCAGCGTGACTGATCAATGAGGACTTGAAATTACGCAGTAGAGCCCAAAGAGATTTTAAACACTACGTCTCATTAGAGCCACCGATTTGAACTTTGGACCTCGGATACAACACTGAGATCGCCATGATAGATGTAAAAGTGACTTTGGCTTTTGACCAGGAATACTAGTAATAATATAATATTTATACCTGGTATGCGTCATTAAAGGCATGCGCGAGAGAGAGCGCTAGTGCTCTGGCTTGCTTTCTCCGAGCGCACACGAACACGTGCACAACGTGGGACTCCCCCGAGCCAGCACTAAACTTGCCCTCCACCACAGCAAACACGCGGGCGTTTGCAGCGTCCGCTGAACAGTAAGAAATGCTGAAAAAATAGACACACAATTACTTTTTGTTAGTTTATCACCTTACAATTATTAAAGTCTAAAAGCTATCTAAAGATTGCTATTTCAGTATGATGAAGTACTGAAGGATTTGGTTTAAAAATAAGTGCCGAAAAAGAGGTTCATAATGATCAGAAGTTAATAAGTTCATAAAAAATAATACTCAGACTTTCATCTAATAGAACAATTATATTCAGCAATCACTAAAAGTTTGTTTCGCGCTGCTTTCCACCACCAGCGTCTGACTGAAAATGGAAGTGTAAGTTTGTATCGGGTATTAAAACGTTTACCATAGTAACGACTGTTTATTGTTCAATCTGTCATTGCAATTATAAAGCATGAAATAAAAATGTTAAAAATAGAACCAAAATCAAACAATCAGCCTTATTCAAAAATGCTATTGAAATTGGACGGAGGTCTAAGTTTATTAATTAATTAATAGGCGACTAACTTCAATATATTTTATAAAGAACAATATCAATATCATGAACTCTCCCTCTGTTTTGATATGACCTAGCGAACATTATTTATATTACTCCGCTAACAAATCATAACACAGGAGTTTGGGATACACAAATGATAGAGATCCGATTCCAACCCAATGACATTGATAATAATTCTAAAAATTATTAAAAGCAAAAAGCTAAGATATAAATGCTTAAAAAATCCACTTTGTCCCCTGTACTCTGAGATAGGATCCACGACATTTCGCGAAGTCGGGCGACTGCACAAACCACTGAGCTACCCAAGACCTAACAGAAATGTCGTATTTTTTAAGCTTTTTTATAATTATATAGGTCACCAGATAATGACAAATGAAAATTAGATAAAGTAGTTTACCTCATTATGAAATGTATTTAAAAAAAAACTTGCATATCGGGTATCCGGCGAAATATGTGAACCTATTTATGACAAATGAACATCCATGTATGTAACCATATTTCAAGCAATAAATATCTTTATCTTTAAATTATGAAATCAAATTATTCTACACGAAACATAATTATTTCGCTTCCAGATAAGCATGAACATAACTTATAAGCAGACTATTCCTAATCGCCAGACCAAAAACTTCCCATTATACCTATACAAGAGTAAATAATTATAGTAGCATACCTACAACGGCGTAATTCACCGATGTAAACACTATTCTGCTATAATAAACAATAAAATCATGTATTAATTAATCTCGAAAGATCTTTATTATTTACAATGACCTAGATAACATTATCTTTGCTAAATTTATAAATATACAACAAAGGATGCTCGGTACCAGCCTCCGATGTGGTACGACGACATGTTTATATTCAATGAATTTGACATCATATAACGACCCCAGCCTATGTGACATAAACAATGACGATATTTTGCAATAAATTATGATTTAATAATAATGCCTTTATAACGTAGTTCGTTCGTCTCGTTAATTATATAATGCAATTATAAATTTATTTAATGTCAATATAAGTCCACTGATTGACAAAACATCAGTGGTTTTTGCTAAATGCTTGTAGAATTAATTCTAATTGATATTCTGTTCGTTCGTTACGACGCAGACAAAATTCATCAAAATGCGTCTGTCTTCAAATAATAAAGCACACGTTTACATTAAAGCTCCACAAAATAACACACATTCATTATCCATTATTATTTCTGGTGTAATAAAAAATATGTATGTCATCTAATTTATTAAAGTTAAATCATTAAAGCTTGATAGCGCGATAATGTATTCGCTCTGAGACTGTAGCAGTTATTTCGATAACGCTCCTTAGCCTTTTGCATCCTTATGCATGATCATTGTCTATTTCTGATCCAGGGAAAATGCATTATGCATGCACTATCCTTGCTGCGTGTCTGGACCGCAGTTTTTGTGTGAGGCTCCGCTAACGGACCTACTCAGTGGTTAAACCACTGAGCAAGTCAAAGAGCGGAGGCCTACCCACTGAAAACTCTGGACATATCTTCTGTTGGTAGTGGCACCCGGGTACGATCAGGTTCCCGGGAACCTGATCGTAATAGCCGGTTAGCCTATACATTTGTTTGTTTAGTTTGTCTGAGTTTCCGAAATGCACTGTAAGCCAATTATCTTGACTGAATCTCCAACCTATCTTCAACTTATCCACCAAAATAATACTCACACAGCTTTTTACATTTTGATGTAGAAAACTATAAATGATATATGTTATATGCAATAGAACAAATAAGTTTTTTTTATTAGTTATTAAGATAAGAGAGAAATAAGAGAATGTGGATACTATAACTGTCTGTATTACCTGTAGATAGAAATGCTCAGTATTTGTTCTTGCGCGATGAGGTCGTTCACCACAATTCCTTTGGAGCTGATATCCAAGCTGACCCTCTGCATCTTCTTGTTAAACGCTACAAGTGAAATAATTTATATTTACTAGATCATTTTGAGTTAAAATATAGAAAAAATGCACAACACACACGGCTGCACGTCAGATTACCACAATATGTCGAATTTCTCCAGTTACTATTAAACTCTACCCTCAGACATTACGGTTTAAAATGAAGTGGAGAAATTGGACAGAATTGTACATAATTATATCTGAAATCTTATCACACACATCAAAGGAGTCGAAAATATCGACTATTATAAAAATTATTGATCTAGACTTTGCACAACTACATTATTGGTTATTCTACTTGAGCTTAACATTTAAAAAGAAGCTTAACAACATTACATTTAGCAGACTGTAAGGCAGTGCGCACAGCAAGAGCGGTAGCGGGCGCGGAGGATGCACGTTCCACTGGGGCGACGCCCGCGTACCGCACGTCAATATTGTCACGGCTTGCATCCGGGGCTTCCTTCCACCAACCTTCACCCTCGCACTCCGCCAATGCCCATTCCTCAGAAAGTTCTGTGAAATAAAAGAAAAAAAGCTGTATTTAAAATATAATAAAAGCGAAATAATATATTTCGGTGAGGTATATCTTCCTTTGTGTTTGTGTCACGAGGAACGATATTTAATCAATCTTTCACCTCCATTACAATGCATTTTTTAATATTTAATCATCGATTTTTTATGATACATTATTTACTTTTATCATTTCAATTGATAGTTTAATGTTTTTACATTTCAAAGAAGACTATTTTTCAAAAAGGCAGTTATTTCTTTCTCTACTATATAAAAAAGAGGCTTATATTGACACATTAATGCGAAGGCAGTTTAGTTTCGATATCATGAATTCTGACATTAAATCTACACTATTATGATACCGTAAGTGTGGCTATAGAAAATGCAAACACTGATAAAACCTCAACAAGAATTATGTCATGTAAAATATGCAACTCTACGACCATTATAACTTCATCATAGATAATCAAGATTTATATAATATTAACGCAGCGGTTTCCATTTGATAAAATAAAACGATTAATATGCATGACCACTCATAGAGTTTGCGAAATCTCAACTTATAACTAGTCGAGCTTGATGAAAATTACTAGCATCGTGAAATTACCAGTAATAATGTTTGGTGACAACTTCCGCTAGACACGCCTTATTAGGCGCCGTCCTAATTAACTAGAACAGTACTAACGATGCGATTTCACGATTGGATACAAAAGTCTGCTTAGAGGTCATAATTGAACCTCCATTATTATTAAATGATTATGTCATCATTATAAGACCATTGTTTTTTTTTCTCCCTCTTTATTTATAATGTATTGATCTGGTTATGACATGGTTTTTGTAAATGTCATTACTACTATTAGAGCTGGTGAGTTTCTTGCTCGTTCTTCTTATCAGCCAAAAGACGTCCTGAACGAGTGGTAGGGAAAAAAATGTTGGACGATTCAAAAGTACTTTTAAGAAGACTTTTGACCTCATAAGTCATCATGAAGTGTTTAATTTAAAAGTAAACTTAATTGTGCACAATATCTAGTGACCTAATTGGTCACGCATCATGCGTACATAGCAACCGGTGGGTTAAGTTGCCGTAAGATAGACCGTACCAGAGCTAATGTAGTAGTAGCAATATATTCAACTGCATGCAGTTTTACGTCCGCCTTCATTCAGTCATGATATAAACTTCATGCGGCCAGAAGTCGCGTAGAATACTTCATATATAAAAAAATTATTCAACGCGTAAAGTCAATATTAACTGCACACAGTGGTGACTTCATCTTCACACAACTGTAGGCGACATCATGAAATTGACGTCACAATAGTATGCAGTGTACTGCGCACTTGCTGATCCGGCTTGGTTGTTGAAGCACGAGGATTGCTGCAGTGCAGTCCGTCTGATAGCAACTTTTATCGCACGACAGATGTTACGCAATTTATTCGATTACTTTACATAATAAAACATTAAACTTTACATTGCGCGGTCATTTTTATAACACGACAAAATCGTATCGTTTGGTCGTACGATCGTTTGCTAATTAGGTCACCCCTTCAGGGCTTAAATCTAACATAGACTTGTTAATTTTAAGAGTGAATACTCTTGAAACTTGGACTTGAAAAACTTTAAGAGGACGTAAGAAAGTGCCAAAAAGTTGAAAAAAGGGAAAGAGTTCTATAATTAATTATACAGTAAAATAATGTCGCTCTAAAAGCGAGTAGGATAGCAATGATGATTAAAGATTAGATTTGCGTAGATTAAATATAATGCTGATTATCATGTTTCACAAGACGATAGCATATCAAGTTACAAGTTAATCTAAGTTGATGTCCTAACATCCGCTATGTAATATACTTACGATATTTAAAAGGGAGTATCTTAGTTCTTGATGATCTATAATATAACTTCGCCTGAAAAACATGATCTATAAGGCTTCTCATGGCGAAATTTAAAGAATCGAAATATCATGATTTCGGAAGAAATTTTTACTGTTTTGTCGTAGCGCTTTTCATACTGAGAATAGTGTGAAAGCCATCATGGATTTTATATTTGCAAAGTCCTGAATCCGGAGAATAAAACGGATTTGGACATGCAGTTATTTTTTTTGCCAAAAATTCAAGAAACATTAGGCATGCTACACCGTGGTGAATATTGTCTCACAAACTTTGTGTAACCATTTTTGGACGTTTTAGGTAGTTTTTGAGATTAATGGACATGCCAACCTTTGCTCGTCCTCAACCGATTCATTCCCGTAATTGATTGCTTATTCCACTTGTAAACGATCTTCAGAGTCACCATAATATCGTCATATTAGAATTTCATGAACTGTTTTGTGTTCTTCAGCAACAATTCAAGAGTAACAATTTTTTGTTTTAAATATGTAATCATAGCTATATCATATAATAAAAACGTAGAATGCTTAAAACTAGATAAGATGCATAGTAGAATTAAATTCAAAATTAAATACCGTTAAAAAACTTTGTTAACTTCAAGCAAGAACTTGTTTAATAATGAGTCAATCACATATAAGACGATTTAACAATATTGTGTATTACATCATAACATCTGCGTATTTGCTATGATCGGGATCAGGAGGCCAATACCAGTTTATAACATATTATCAAATCATCAAGTGTTTAATTTATTTTTGAGTTAAAATATATCTACGGTATTTAAAATGAAAATTCTTAGTTCTTGATGATCTATAATAAACTTCGCTCAGGCTTCGTATGGCGAAATTAAGAGACATACGTATCTTAGTTCAAGGCATCAGACTAGTGAGCCAAGATATGACCCACGTCCAATTGATAAAAAAACGCATGATTTCTGTAAATCTATATTCAAAGAAGAAATGGTATCGCTGACATAAATGTAATAAGGAAATCCGAATTCGAGTCAAAAACTTTGGACTTACAAAAGAGTTGTGTAGATAATAAAAATTTGGAATAAAACTTCATTTTTTCTCTCGTTTTCCTTATTTATAAAGAAGACTTCCTAAAATAAATAATCATTGAAGCGGAGAACTAATGGATATGGACTGTTTATGAAAATAAACTATTACAAGCGCAAAATAATGGGTTTATCTATTCGGGTGCAGGATGAAAATCAATGCCAATTAAGTCAAGGCATTACAAAAAATACACACTTCTTCGACTTCACAATTGACGTCACTACTCTCGATGCAAAACACAATTCGATGGTCCCGATAGTTCACATCACTAGCGTTCGCCTTCATTTTTAGTTCACTGGTTTATATAGGTTTATATCATAGAATAGGCTCCGAAACTACAAGACCGGTTTTAAATATGCTTTCACCTACAGGTAGCTACATCATACAGGGTTGATATAGACTATAATTTACGCGTGCGAAGTCGCGGGAGAACAACTAGTTGATGATATAAATACAGAGATCACAATACGGTACATCTTGCAATTGCGTTTTTTTTTTGTTTAATGTGAATGATTAAAAAATAATGTCATATAATTAAAAAAACACAAAAAGCAAATTAAATGTAAAGGTTGGCCACAAATAAGTTGTAAAGTCTTTTTGCAGAGTTTATAAATTTGTAATAGCTTTGGCTGTATTATTTGGCATTGATAACAATAAAAAAAATTAATTTTTAATAAGGAACAAATTAGTAAAATTTATATGGTACCAATTATTCATAATTTTTTCTTCATGTCGAGTAGAGAGAATTTAATGAAAAAAATACTCGATAAATTTAAAAATACTGTTAGGTGCAAAAAAGGGATAAAAATATCCCTAAACAAATATTATTGTAGTGTGTAATCTTTATTGACAATTCAAGGGTTGTTTCACATCAACAAGATTGATAAAACTATAAATAATTTGATACGATGAAGGTCCCGATATATATGCGTCATTATTATCGGTTACTTAAAAGTGCCGTTTCCTCTATCTGGCCGGGCGAGCTATCTGTGTCAGACAGGCCTGTCAAGTAGGCCACGGGTCACTATTAGGCGCAATTGTACGACATACGTTCTGTTGCGCGTTTTGTTTAACTGACTGCTACCGATACGGACCGGTTCATTAGTGATAATAATTAAATATACAGATAACAGTACATTGAATCGTAAAAGTATAGGTATTACATGAAGCGTTGATATTTCCGCAAACATTAAACAATGACGATTTTGAGGGGCTTTTATAGCTCGTATATTTTGAATAACGATATTAGAATAATGCAATAATACGTATGAAGAGGCAGCAGTTACTCGATTTGAAATTTTCAAGGCGTGACTTTTTATTATAAACGTAGAACTCGACGAAGACAACGCTGTCAATGTAAAACCAACTTAGAACGATAATAAAGGTTTTATTTCATTGAAACATTATGTCAAGATAGCGCTGAACCCGACGTCGAGTTCGAGGCTGTTTTTAATAGAATAGCTTAACTGATGAATGTTAAGATGTATGAAAAATTTCTACTATTAGCTTTTTCTATTTTATTTTTTGAAGTGCCTATTGAAAATATCAGTAGGGTAAAGATGCCGAATATGAGATAGTCGCCAAATATGAGATAGCTGGGTTTTGGCGAAACTAATCACCGCAACCATTTGGCGGTACTGTCCCTAGAAGCCACGTGGCAAAAGATCAAAACGTGTGTTAGTGCTTCCCAGTCCAAGGCGAAGTTAGATTGTGTACACGTGGGTTTTCACGAAACCCCAAAACCAAATTTTTATCATCAAATATTTACAAGGTACTACAACTGTATTAATTACACTAAATGATTTTAATTTACCGTCATTCTATCAATTATATCATGAATTTTATGATACATTTGCAGTTTTATTGCATTTTTTTTTACTGAGAAATAATGTGCAACCATTTTGTTGAATGTTGATGTTTTCCTAATATAAGACATGCGAGTGCTCCTAAAATGAGATATCTCGTATTAGGATATTGTTTAAAAATCACTGTGATTATTATTATAACTATTTACGTTACATACATATATTAAGTCGTACTCAGACCTATTTATTTAGGAGTATGATGTTGTTAATTAGAGAATATAGCCAATAAAAAGTTTAATTCAAATTAATTTCTTTACTTTTTCTCTAAATCTATACTGAAACCCTAAAGAACCTAATATGAGGACGTCTCATATTAGCAACCCTCAGTATCTCATAA